GTTGTTCTTGATTTCACTCCTCGTTCATGCCTAAACATCTTATCGACGGCTTCACACCCTCACACCCTCACTCTGCATCTTTTCCTCCAGCCCCTCTTCACCTCCTCTGACCATGAAACACTTTGCGTGGACACTTGTTACCAGAAGGGATGGGTGAGAGAGAGGAGAGGGAGGGACACACCCTGCCACAGTTGCATTTTTTTTACATCTGTTAATCTGTTTGGTTTTGGTTTCAGTTATTATTCCTATCTCAGTATTCATCAGGAATTCTCTCTCTAGGCTGTGTGTGCTGATCCAGATCAGGCCCAGACTCCTCCAACAGTCCAGGGTGATAAACACAGCACTGAGTGGTGTTACGTGAGGCTGTGTCCAGTGGAGAGTCGGCCTGTGTCGTCTGATCCTGTTGGTTATGGACAGACTAAAAAGAGAAGGAAAGAAGAATAGAAAGAGAAAGGAGTTAGAGACATTTATGGTGGGTGCACAGAGAGGTTGGGGGGGTCAACGGTAAAAAGGGTTAATACGAAGTTCACTGTGTTAGGTTCAGGCCGTGTGATGCAGTGTTTATTATCGTAGGTGGTGCTGCAGATCAAACACTCTTGTGTAAGTACAGTAAAGGGGTGACAGGGAGAACAAGAGGGCATTTAAAGAGAGTGGCCTTGGCAGAGGTCCAGGCGGAGAGTGAGGGGGCACAAAAGGAGTCTGTCAGAACGGCCCGCAGTTGTTTTTCAGTGTCAAATCGTACCAAGAGCATGTTGCTTTTACACTCCAACCATTTGCATTAAAGGCATTCCAGCAATGCCCCTTCACATCAAATGGGAATCTACACAGATCTGCTGTTGTGGTGCCTTTGAGACAAGGCGGCCACTTTAGCTGCTCACACAGGCTTTTACAACAGTTTACTGAGCTTTTTAAAGAGAGGACTACAGCCACGTCAACAGACAGGCAGACAGAACCATCAATCAAAAAACCCATTCCTGAAAAGAACCACTGAACTGAGTCTCCTAAATTTTTATTTATTTTTTATTTATTGCATGTAATGCAATGATCTCTCCGTGAAGAGTGTGGAGCCTTTAGCATCAGTTTAGCTTGTGTTCTAGCCAGTGTGGTACACATCGTTACAATCTTACTCCACGGTGATGCTCAGCCTGTTCCTGCAGAACTTCTACCACAAACACTGTGCAGCTCCATTCAAGAACCCAACCACACGAGTCTGGCCTTAATATTGATAGAAAGAGTTCAAAGTCACTGACCTGTACTCTTGACAAATCCGGCATGAACACATCAAGTCAAAGTTCCAAAAGTAAATTTAATCCAGGTTTCGCTCTTGGTCCAAATTCTGCAGTGGTGTCTGTATGTTTGCTGTGATGGTAATGAATTTCGATGACTTTTTCTGCCAGTCCCCCCACCCCACAAAGTGGAACCCCATCATCTAGAGCGTCTTGCGCTTGGGTAAGAAGGCTTTCCGGAAAGATGTAGTGGTGGTGCCTCTGCTGAACGAGGCGCCTCCCAGGGAAATTTTGGTTTTCCCGCTTGTGATGGTGGAGGAGCCCAGAGATGTTGTGCTCTTGCCCCTGGTGATGGAGGAGTTCCCCATGGCAAGCTTGGATTTCCCCCTCTTTATTGTGGTGTTGCCCAGGGTGAGGGCCGTCTTCCCCTCGGAGAAGCTGGTGTTGCCCATTGAGGAGAAGCTTTTCTTCCTGTCCCAGATTCAACAGCGGGGTTTGGGGCTCACTCCACGCTAAGCATCGCACACTCATGCAGCATGCCCTGCTCTACGAGACCTCAGGGGGTAATAGTAACATCGGTGGTGATCCAGAGCAGACCAGAATGCTAAGCATGGATAGCACGACCCCCGTGTCACATAATGCTTTCCTTGAGCTGTTGGACGTGGGCTCTGGAAGGCCGCATACCACCCATGTGTCCCTCTGAATGGACAGAGGCAGCCGTAGGTGGCCACGGCCTCTCTAGGGCGATCAGGACAGTGGAGCGATTGTCCGGCGGCCACGACGACACCGGATAGTTGAAGGACACATTGTTGCAAAAGGGACAATCTGTGGTGACATCACTTTCTTCAGAGCCATTGTTCCCCACAGTCTCTGATTGTAAGACATTCCCTCTGTGTACAGCAGTGAGCGCCGTATGTTGGATGATTTGTTTAGTGTCAGATTTTAATAAGAGCTGAGAACATGTCCTAATGTTGTCCATATGTCTCCTGTGTGTCCTTTGTGTCCCTTAAGTTTATTATCCATCTGTTTACTCATCCCAGGCGTTAAATATTTGAATATTTATTTTATTTCCCCACATTATGTTTCTGATGATATGTCAGTTTGTATTTTTTTTTTTTTTACAAAACAACCAAACCAAGCGTCGTTTTAGAGCAGTTACCTTTATGTATGCACCCTCACATTAGTCAGCTTGCACAGATTTCCTGTTTAAAACTGCTTTCTTTGCCTGACACATAGCAGAGTATTTGTAGTAATGTAGTAGTTTATACTTGAGAATATCAACCAATCTTATCAGCAAGTACATCACAGTGGCACCAAAGAGTCAGACAGTGTGTTGACTGTACATGTACAAAACACAGGGGGAGAAACACATGCACACACCCTCCATCGTGTCCACACATACAGTACATTAAACATGGCTGTTCCACATCTCCCCTCCCTGCCAAGTTGACAGACCGTAAACCATGTCATCACAAGCACATTTGCACGACACACTCAGAACGACTTCCGACTGCGGGACCATCAGATCTTCCACCCGTGTTTCACTTGTGCACAACATTACGCATGAATTCCATCCAACCTATTAATTTAGCGCACATTGAACACAAACATTAACAGCTCTTTCAACTACCAACCTGCTAACACTGACCAGACAGACATATCCTTAGGTATTTAGGTGTGTGGAGGGTTCATGTGTGGAAATTCCAGTAGATGTTGCTGTTTTTCTCTTTGCCTCTGATGAGGGTGGTTTTGACCACAGACACAGACTTGGTCCCGTGAGTGAATGTCACTGTGATGAGAGAGCTGGTGATCTCCCCTCTTGTAATGGATGTTTTGACCACCGCTACGCCGGTGTTGCCCAAAGTTGCCGTGCTTCTGCTCCAGGAGACGGAGGATTTACCCCAGGAGAAGGCGTATTTAGTCCTCAGGATCGAAACCCTGCCTTTAGTGAAGGAGGTCTTGCTTGATGAGAATGTGGTTTTCCACTCATTGTTAGAGTCTTTATTCAACTGCGTGGATGTTTTGGGTGTCTTTGCCCTGGCTGCAGGCGACCTCTCCATTTAGGTGTTCCTGCGCTTGGATGTCAGGGCTTTGCGGAAGGAGGTGGTGGTGGTTCCCCGGCTGAAGCTCGCCCGTCCCAGAGCCACAGTCGTCTTTTGCCTCTCAATGGTAGAGTCTCCCATGGAGGTGGTGGTCACTCCCCTGAAGATGGAGGAGCTGCCCATGGAGACGGTAGTTTTTCCCCTGGCTATAGAGGTGTTTCCCACTGCCAGGGCTGTTTTGCCCTCTGTGATGCTAGTGTTTCCCATGGAAGCTGAGGCAGTCAGCCCGAGCCCGTGCCTCAAAGCCGGCTCCTAACATGCAAGCTGCATAACTAGTTGCTTGCAGTGCAGCAGGGTGAGCATGTGGGGTCAAAAGCCAAACTAAAGCAGCAGTAGCTGCCCTAAATAGATCACGCCACCACGTACAGATAAAGGGGAGGGAGTTATCAGATCACTGTTCGATCCCTGAGAGGGACTTGACCTTAAAGGACTTGGAAGCGCATCAAGCACAATGGCTGAAAAAAACAAAACAGCGGGGTTATTGTATCGTTTTCATGGTAGCACTGTCAAAGCATTGAAGGGGTGTATTGTACGTAGCACACAGGACAATCGGGGTGACCTCAGTGTGATAGGATGGCACCGTTCCTAAAAAATCAGTGCTGTTGTTGCACGGTTCAAATACAGTAGTGCGTTTGTAAGCTGGGATACAGTTCACGTCAGATTTCCAGGGTCTTGTGATTTACGTTTTTCCTTTTTGATTCTTCCCACCCTATTGTTTGTGTGTTTTTATTTCAGATTCTCCGTAAAGACTCTCCTGGAAAAGTACACTGCAGAGCCCATAGATGACTCATCGGAGGAATTTATTAACTTTGCCGCTATTTTAGAGCACATCCTCAGCCATCGCTTCAAAGGTAACACTGCAGGTAACATATATATAGCACAAGCAGACGGACCAAAATAAATTTAAAAAAAAACTTGTACAAACATGTTTGTTTTGATTTGTCTAAATATCACATGACTTTTCCAGCCAGCTGTGCTGTCATCGGGGCTTCAGCATCAGAGGATGTCACTGTAAAAAATGATTTACTGCTATGTTTAAATCACCAAACAGGTTCCGGAAGCTGGTTCAGCTCAGATGGACAGCGCAGCTTCTGGGAATACATCCGAGTGGCGTGCAGCAAGGTGCAGAACAACTGCATCACCAGCATTGAGAACATAGAGAACATCAGCACATCGAGAGCCAAGGTGGGGATGTTCACGTGCATGAATGTGTTGTCGTTGGTGTGTGTGTGTTCAGTAATGGATATAAACAGTGAGTAAGGACGTCAGTCACGTGTTCATCATTATTTCTTCTTGCTCTAAAGGGCCGGGCGTGGATTCGGGTGGCGTTGATGGAGAAACGTTTTTCTGAATATGTGTCCACTGCTCTGAGAGACACAAGAACCACCAGGTCAGTAGCTCTTTGTTACAATTTGTTATGCATTTGGAATGGAAATTGGAAAACCAATTTTGATTCGTGACATGAGATGAGAAAATAATAAACATAAATATGATGATGTTCACATTAGTGTTGTTCAGTGCTGATGCAGAACACTATCTGTTCCACTTGGGTCAATAATATCTAACCTGTTGGCTAAATGTTGGATTTGTTTTTTCATGGCAAACACTTTTATCTCAAATGCTTTCAACGTAAAAGTGAGGCAAATATACCCAAGGTCAAGGAAGTCAAATCAACAGAGTTTTAAATAGTGTTTTCCTCCAAGGACACATGGTAGAAGGTACATTCTAAGGGGTGTTTGTGCTTTAAATAATCACAAATGAAAAAATAAAAGCAATGAAAACATATTCTATGACCTTGAAAACTCCTGATGTAGCAGTGACGTTTTTTACACCACCTCCTTACATGACAGGAGGTTCTATGATGATGGAGCCATTATGCTGAGAGAGGAGGCCACGGTCCTGACTGGGATGCTGATTGGACTGAGTGCCATTGACTTCAGGTGAGTACATGTGCATCAATGTCCAAACTGTACAGTACATGTACTCATACATCAATGTTTAACCCAAAGACCCTTTGACGTGTCTCGTCGTACTTTATATTGATTGCCAGCCTAAACTGTAGTAGCTAGGACAGTATACTATGCATCTATAAATACTACATTGTGATTAAATATTAATAAAATATCTAATGTCTTGTATGTTTCTGCAAATAAAGTCAAGTAAACCTGAATCACCAAAGAGTCTGAACAGAGATTTAATCTCTTTTTAAATATTTTTCCAACATCCTTGGACATAATTTGTCTTCATGATCATTTGATTCATTGACAAATTATTGTATGTCATAATCTGTGAATAACTGAATATTGTACGTTTGTATTTGTTGTATTTTTCAGCAGCACTCTTAAACCGTCAACTTTGCTCTTGTCTCTGTTCCTGTGTAGCTTCTGTTTGAAGGGTGAGACTCTGGATGGAAAATCTCCAGCTGTGATCGACTACACACCTTACCTGAAGTTTACTCAGACGTGAGTCTTTTCCTCCACGCCTCAACTTTAGCAACAGCAACGCTGTGACGCTCACCATCGCGGTCACTGTTTTCAGGTACGACTACCTGAGTGATGAGGAGGACCGTCGCAGTGTGGACAGCAGCAATAGCGAGGAGAGTGTCCCTGAACATCCTTACATTCCTCTGGTGACGGACGAGGAAAGCTGGAGCAACAAGTGTCGCAAGATGGAGCAGAGGTTCAAGATTGTTTACGCCCAGAAGGTGACAAATAACCTGGGAACTAATGTGAAGCCTTTTTAGTCGTTTATTTATGTATTTATTTATTTTTTTGCTTTTTCACATGACAGGGTTACCTGGAGGAACTGGTACGTCTGCGGGAGTCACAGCTGAAAAATGTGGAGATGGAGAACAAGCATCTGAGAACCAAGGTGGAGGAGCTGACCGTCCAGGGTCAACAGGAGAAGAAGGAGCTGGAGTCCATTGTGCTGGAGCTTCAGGCACAGCTGCAGGGAAACACGAACGTGTGAAAGTTCTACCCCCAGCCATATTTTGAAGACATCATTTGATCAGATCCTGTTTGGATTACAGTTGGTGTTCTCTTACTGTAAAGAATTTTTAAAAAATGTGATTTTTTTTTCTTCTCTGTTAATCATCAGTTCAGCTTTAATGCCTTGTGACTCGTCCCATCTGGCTAAGGACCTCGCCATCCCATTGGTCAACCAGTGGTCCACCATCACAAACAACCAATGCAATGTCAAACTGTTCCGCAGGTAATTCGATTTTTTTTTTAAATTACCTATATTTTTTTCAATCAAAAGCCAGTATTTGTTTGAGGGTTGGTGATGTTATTGCTCCACCAGGAGGAGTTTCCACAGTTTGGAGCAGCTGTCTGCTGAGATCAGTCTGAACTCTGACTCCCAGAAGACTGATGGGAGACAGAACGGAGATGCTGCCTGGACTTCAGCAGGTGAGTTGACATCTGTGTTGATAACGAGCTCATATAGAAGAGTACGGTCATTTCAGTTACTTTGTGTTACCAAGGTTAGTGTGATTTTTCTTTTGTCTGTGCAGGAAAAGACAACACTCCCTCCATGCTGGGTCTGTGTGGATCTCTGGCCTCTTTGCCCAGCTCCAAGTCTCTGGCCAGCCTAAAGTCCAGTGAGTGCTTGGTCAACATTAGCACTGAGCCCAGCCCTGCACTCTCTCCCAGCTAGGAGCTGCAAGCCAACCACAACTCAGCCTGTCTGCCTGGTGATGCTGCGTCCACCAACTCCCTGCTCCTCTCATCCCTCCAGCTCCAGGAGAGTCACGGCACCGTCTTTGGATTTTTGCACACACAAGATTGAAGTCATTAAGCTGTAAGGTTCCAACTGTTTTAGTTGTTCTTTTTTCTTTTTTTTTTATAATTTTCCCAAACCTTATCACTTGAACCGTCTTATGCACTATCCTGTTGTACTATCTGTGAATCTCTACATTCAATATCATACAATTCTTCCTGAAGTCATGTGACAAGTCATCCAGTCTCATCTGTGCCCTTATGCTCTTCCTGTTATTTTTTTCCTGTCTTTTGTAAATGTGACTAAAACAGCAGAGGCTGCTCTGTTAATGCAGCTGCCGATAGAGAGATGTGATGATTATTGTCAGAGGAAAATGATATTTACTATGTATAAGGTAGAGAATGGGATTTTACATTGTCTTATTCTGTCCTATTGCAGTGTTTGTGTATTAGACCAGTGGACCCTGACTTTTTTTGGACCCTGGACTGGTTTGGTGTAAGACAACATTACCCAGAGTCTGGGTGTCAATGCAATTTTAATGTGCTTAAAAATAGAACCCACTGTTAAGCTGAATCGGAGCCTCATGTGAGAGCAAGCTTTCACCTGTGGACCATACATACTTACTTTTCTGTAACTCTTTTGACTCCAGGGTTTTTTGTTGTTGTTTTATTAGGATCAAAATATATATTTTTAGTTGTCTCTAGATTTTGTGATGTATCTTGGTAGGGGACGACCATCGTGACATATTGAGAATTGGTGACAGCGAATTTAGTCATTTTTAAAAACAAATACATCTTTTACTGTAATGATCAATGGCACAAAAACATGTTGTTTTCGTGCCATTGTTTGTGGCCCTGTACTCAGTGACCCACTGCTTCTAGTCCGGGGCCCATAGGCCGGGGACCTTTGTGTTAGTATGAAAAGAATCTTGGGTCTGCCACCTTTCAATTGGCATATTATTCCACACACACTCTTGCACTCTTTTTGAGCCATTGGGTTTGTGAATCTGTTTTCATTTACTCTATAGCATATAGTTTACCTTCTAAACTGTACCATTTATTTATTTATTTGCTATTTACTTTATTGTTTTTGTTGTAATAAACAGTCTCTTTTCCATGAGTGATGTCCTTTTGTTTGTCGCAGCAGTTTTAATTTTGTTTTGTTTTTTTGTTAAACCTCATTTCCTGCATTTTTAAAATTGATATGAAATGTACTAAATTGAACTGAAGTTACTGACTGAAAGCTTAAAAGGTGATCCAGTGTATGATCCTGCAGACTACTGTATAGTATGGGGATACGGATTTTCTGGCTCCCCCTTGTGGTGTAATAGTGTAATAAAAGGCATTGCACAGTAATCTTAGAAATGAATAAATAAAAATAAATCCTATATAAGCTACTGCAGTGATAACGATATTGAAATATAAATAAACAGGGAGAGATTTAAGATGAATTAGCCATTAGCTCTCACGGTCTCAAGTGTGTAGAGGGACTGTATACTGGGTCAGTGTGTTTGTGTTGTATTGTTAAAGTGACTTATTATTTTGTAAGAGACACAAATGGCAGTACTGTCTACTAACTCTAAAACAAATACAGGTACTGCAGTAGAGGCAGGGCAGAATACAGTGAGTACTTGTGATTACAGTGAGTACGTGAGTATTCTTGGGTGAGGCCACAGGTGAAGATGTAGAAATCAAAGATTGAATGTGGGTGAGTTAGTAAAAGCAAAATGTGAAATATTTCTCTCTCTCACACACGATCTGTCGTTCTCCTGCTACTCTAAACTATTCTTGTTGTGACAGTTTCTTGGTTAACATTAATAAAAATACTATAAAGCCATTGTGTACACAGAAGTTTAACCATAATCCATAAAACTACCAATAACTGGTTAAGGCCTCAACTCTCACCAAACTTCATTTTGTCTTAACTCCATCCACAGCCTGGGAAATGAGGTTCTGTCTTATTAGAAGCAGGTTTTGGTCGTTAGTAAGAAAAAAAATCAGTAACAATGCCAGAAACACTCACCCACAGACCCAGTTGGAGGAGGAGGAGGGGAAGAAAGAAAATCTCACCGAGTGGGTGTAAACTTTTAAGTTTTCTCGCTCTTTTGGTGACAGATGGACATAAAGGCCAATGAGGACGCAGTAGTATTCTGCAGAAGCCAATCAGAGGGAGGCAGAAAGTAAAGCCAAGCACGCGTTACACGCACAGGTTGAGCTGTTGTGTTGTCACTTCACGCACACATAGTTTGAGAGAAGGAAATCTATGCGCAGCCCTCACCATCCTTCTTAAACCGCAGCATGAAGGAAGAAGAATCTAGAACTAAAGCTTGTGATTCGTTAACAGCTGCACACTGAGCTCCTCTACTTTCCCCACCTTTCTCTCCGCGGTTAAAAACTTGGGGATAAGCAGTAAGGAGGAGGAGGAAGAAGAAGGAGTGAAGGACGCAAATTATGGTCATTGTCATCATCTGTTCAGAAAGGAAGCTCGGTGTTCAGGGTGCAGAGTGACCGCCGTGGATTTCTTTTTCTCTGGAGAAACTGAATGTAGAGGGAGAGCAGAAGAGGCAGAGAAAAAAAACCTGTGAGGTCGTTTGTGTGTGCGTGCGTGCGTGTGTTTTCATAAGTGGAGCTCGGCCGTGGGAGCAGAGTGGGGGATGTCGAGCAAGAGTGGAGGAGCGCCTCGGGGGTGCAGCAACCCCAGCCTGCAGCCCCTCAGAGCCACAGTGCCATACCACCTCCAGAGAGGCTCCGCTCTCCTGAGCAGAGAGGTCAAGACGGGTAAATCCACACTCACTAGGAGGAGGAGGAGGAGGAGGAGGAGGAGGGGGAGGAGGGGGAGGTGGAGATGGTCCACTTCACATTCATGCATTCACTCCCATGTGGTCCAGGGTTAGCAAATTCTTTTGTGTGTATATATATATACACACACAAAGTAACGCATATCTCTATATCTATGTAGATATAAATATTCACATGTTTGAGTTGAGTCCTTTCTTTAAGAACTACACATTCTTTGTGTATAAGCTTGTAGTTGACTGTCACAGAGTGAAGATAGAAGAGATGTTTTAATTATATCATGTTTTTAATTAGTTCACATTTCATTTCAATGTGAGCAAACTCCTAAAGTTGCCAAGGGCTGTTTATCCAATCTCATCATTGTTTTTTTCCCTGTAATATAAGAAAAAGTGCTTGAGGACAATGAATGGAAAATTCAACAAGTGATTAGTCATCTAGTCTGTCATTCATAACCTCAGTCAATGTTGTCTAAACCCCGTAATGCCACAGGTAATGTCTTGCCCAACGATAGTTGGAAATGCGCAGTTACTGTAGAATATCTGTGTTGACCTCATATAGAAAATATCACAGGTGTTTCTTCAAATAATTATTTTAATTAAAGTTAGATATGACAAAAAGAAAATACCCAGAACAGGGAAGTTGGAGAGGTAAAACCTCAGGCTTTTTCCAGTGAAACTGTAGGGTGTGACGGAGAGAGCGAGAGAGAGAGAAAGAGAGAGAACACTCACACTTACATTTGGCCTTAGAATAAGAGTTATACAACACAGTCAAGGAATGAGCAACGTCCAATTGATGACCATCTATTGATTCAGGCCGTTGGTTGAGCACGTCCTGGTGGGTCGTCTGTTGGACCACGTTAACTCAAACTGCCAAAACAAGCTCTGTAATTACTCCAGTCCTCATCAGGTTCCAATTAGGATGGTTTTTGTGTTGATGTGTCACATATTGAAAGATTTTAATTTTAAATAATGAAGTAATACACTACACATGGATAACACGCTTTTCTGTTTCAGTCATTAGTAAAGTTTAGTTGGCGAGTAGACAATGATTGAGTTCTGTCTTCATTGCAGGTCTAACAGCTAATGTTGATTCTTTTTGTACTTTATTATCCTCCATATGAGACAAGAAAGTAAAACAAGTAGTCACATGACTTTAGTGTGAATGACTAAGTCCTCATCTGAGCCATAAATTAATCAGTATAAAAAGACCAGCACATTGTTGATATTATTTACCATCAACTAGTCGTTACACATCTACTTCCTGTGCAAAAGCATCATTAACTTCTATTCCATCCCCAGTTAGTTTGGCAGTAGTAGTGTTTTTTAACAGTTGATTAATCAAAGGATGCATATTTTGTAAGAGTAGTTTCATTTGGACCATAAATAGAAATCATAAGCAGAAGCTGCTAGTGTGGCGCCATCTTGACAAAAGAATGCAAAACAAATTTTTTGTTTTTTTTTTTCAAAAAGAAAACGACCACTTTCAAATTTCTTTTTGCTAAATATTTCTCTTCATTCTCTCGAGCTGTTATCACATAACACTTTCTACACTTGAAGACGGACGTCAGTCAAACTATTGTAGTTTATACACTTCCAACACTTATTTAACAGTTTGTTGTCTTAATATCTTACACTTGTTATGCTACTGTGACATATAACATTTTATACTGTGAAATGATGTTATTCGGACACTGAGTGGCCCATGTGAACTCTGACCTGTGGGATCTGGGCTTCAAGCTAACGCAGCAGCGGCAGCAGCTTTAAAGACTTCTTTGTTTTACTGTGGCTCTGTTTGTGTTATGACCATGTCCATGAGAGTTACATCTGCATGTACTGGTGTTTATTTATACATCCTGCCTGCCCTGTAACCTGGCCAACCTGATGACAACACGTGTGTGTGTGTGTGCAAATTGGTACCTCTTGACCACCTTTTCCTGCATAAACATGGACATTTTCTGAACGAGTCGTCCTCATGGGAACCAAAGGCTGCAGCTAATGAGGCGAAACCCCATTTCTGAGGCTCTGGTTAAGGTTTAGGCCCTAGAAAATTGTAGTAAAGTAAAGGTAGAGAGGTTTTAGGTTTTGGGGCTGTCCAGAGAAGGAAAAGGAGAGCCATAATAACGTTTAAACATAATGAAATGTCGAGAAAAAAAACTTAAAAAACACCGAAAGATAATCAAGAAATATATTAAAACAATAACAAAATGTTGGCTATAGTTAGCCAAATTGTTAAATGTAGCCAATACATTCAAAACATACTTGACTTTTTTTAATCCTTGTCTGAGCTTTTCTCACATAAAAAATATTATGAAAGCGAACCTTAAAGTGACAGACCCTAAAGTGAATTCTAGTTCTTACCTAAAGGGTGAGGGGTTTTTGGATACATGGATGTTTGAGTAACTATAATGCATGTAGTGTAGGCATTACTAGTAATGGTTAGGGTAAGGGAGAAGGTTCTAAAGATTGAAACAAACTTGAGGGAACATGTTCTTCACTGACATTATGGTGTATGTTGTATGTGTATATTCTTGTCTTGTTGTATATTTGGGCAGCTTTGCTCACAGTCCACACCTGCAAGTTTACAATAAGCTTCTAGTGTCATGATTTAAACCGGTGATGACCCAAATGCAGGCTCAGACGACGTCAAATGAAAATCAAGGATTTATTTTCTAAATTAACTTCAACAGGAATCACAAGGAAGAATAGTTCAAGTCAATCTGGACGTTAGCAACCACGGTGGCTGAACAAACGATCTGACGACCAGTGGTAGAAAGGCCAGGGTTCTTATGCCGTCAGCGTGATGGGTTGATTGAAGGCAGGTGCTGAGGAACGGCAGGTGCGCTCCAGTGACCAGCCAGGCAGAGTCAGGGAAATGCGCCACACCCACTACACAGACAGAGAAGAGTGCACAGCACAAGAATGGGGAAAACACAGGGAAACACAGGGAACGACAATCCCGACTGTCATCGTGACAGTACCCTCCCCTCAACGGCCACCTCCAGGTGGCCTACCAGGCTTGTTAGGATGCTTTCGATAGAAATCCCGGATTAGAGAGGGATCTAAAATAAGTTGACGAGAGATCCAGCTCCTCTCCTCTGGGCCATATCCCTCCCAGTCAACCAAGTA